TTAACACCTCCAGGGAGGGGGCACCCACAGCTTCCCTGGGCAACGTGGGCCAGGGCCTCACCACCCTCACAGTCAAGAATTTCTTGCTCATATCCAGTCTAAATCTCCCCTCTTCCAGTTTAAAGCCATTGCCCCTTGTTCTATTGTTACCTGCTCTTGTAAAAAGTCCGTTCCCAGCTTTCCTGTAGGACCCCTTCAGGAACTGGAAGGCTGCCATAAGGTGCCCCCGGAACCTTCTCTTCTCCTTGCTGAACAGCCTCAGCTCTCTCAGTCGGTCATAGCCTTGCCTAAGAAATAGTTTTAAAACAAAAAACAACTTAAACTCATTAAAAAAGAGAGGTCGGATTCTTTGCTTCCTCATATGCCCCTTATTATTAATTTATAATCTCATTCTCTTTTCCCTCACTCATATGAATTGTCTTACAAGAACAATATATTCCCCTTGTCTCAGTGAACTAAAATTAAATGGACTTAAGTTGAAACTGGTATTTTACAGGATGTGAGATTCATTTCTTCAGGGAAAATCCAACTTGTGTGACTGTAGTACCAAGTAGTATATTGAAATATTATTACTTTATTTTATTAAAACTATTGAGACATTCATTCTGTATCATTTCAGAGAAAGAGTAGAAATTTTATCAGCCTACACATTGAACTTTGAATACTTAGATCCATGAGTGTAAAAATATGCCACTTACCTACATATCTCATAGGGATGTGTCTATGTTTAGGCATTTGTCACAGAAAATGTTGGTGGCAGTAACTCAGAGGTTGTTTTTTTTCCTTTGTGCTACAAAAGACAGGACACAAGCACAAGTGTATTAAGTGTGTGATGTGAACGGCTTCTTTCTGTTGGTTCCTCTGCTTTGACAGAAGCCACCAGGAGATTTATCTTTTAAATAACTCAAGAATAATATCAGGCTGTTATTTCTGTCTCCAACTGGGTAGCCACTTGTGTCAAGCAGTGATTAAATGGTGGTTTTGACTTTTAGGTGTCATTATATTCATGACAATACCTTAGAAGGCATTAGCTTGTACTGAGCATCAACTTGATTTTTGTAATTATGTATAAAAATGAGTTTTCTAGGCACCAGTTACTCATTATTTTCATTAAAAAAGAAGAGGACTCATTTGAACTCTATGTCACAAATACTTAGGATTAGAAAAGGGCTTCTAATGAGTGGGATATTGCCAATATATCGCCCCTCACTTGAAGGGAGTGAGGTATAAGCTTCCTTGCACAGCTTTGCACAAGGAGGTAGACATTCCAGTGAGGGGTACTGATGACATCTAGTGCTTGAGTGGTTTGGTGATTTCAGGAGAATGCTGCATTGAAATAATTGCTTTAATTTCCTGCTTGTTATGAGATTACATTACTTAATAGAGCATCTGATATAATAGAAATAATTTTGCCATCCTAGCCTTTTTTTTTTCATTCCATCATTGAAATGTAGTTTGTTTTATTTTCCAAGAATCTTCTCTTCCCCCTGAATATTCTCCTTTTGCCAGCCTATATGGAGAAACCTTTGGTTGATTTCCTGCTTTTTGCCTCAGCCATATCAGCGCTGTGTGAGGATAAATACCAAGATGATGTGGTGGCAGGGGACAGTTTCTCACGTGGCTGAGGAAAGTGATTAGTGAGTGCTAGGTACTTTGCCCTTCTGCTGAGATGTTACACATCTGTTTTTCTGGAAGGAATGAATATCCACTTCTGGCAAAGCAGGATTTTGGAATTGTTTTAGACTGGACACCCAAAATCAAGGAACCAGGTGCTCCTAATCACTTCAAAAATGCCATTTGTTGTCATTTCAATTATGTGTTTCAACAGCGATTTTTCTTAGAAAGTTCATAAATAGCATTTTCACCAACCTTTATAAATAGGAACCATATGTTTTAAACAATAATCATTTGCATTTATAAAAATATGTCAATTTTTTTACATACGTGAAGAGTGAAATCTAGTAATAAATTTATGAGAGCACAGCCAGTACCAGATTTAGATCTAGGTAGGTCCATGTTCAGAAAGGTAATTTGGTCCATGCTAAAGGAAAGTGCCTGATATCAAACAGACATCTTTTATAAACACTAAGTTTTTGCTAATTTTGTAAAGGTCATTATGAGTAGTATTGTGACAGAATTCTTAGTCTTTATTCATAGATTCTATAAAATATTTAGAAATAGAGAGGTTATAACCTTCAGCTTTTGCACAAAGTAGCCTGGGTTAAGTATCAATCCTCAAAAGTGGTTGAATTCAGCAATAAAAAGCAGCATCACTGTGGGGATTGGAGTCTATTACAGCGATCAGACTGGTCCCATTCCTCATTTTGAATCTTCCGGTGCAGGAGCAATAATTCACTATTCCGTAAATTACTTTGGTGAATGTTATTTTTTATTTGCAACATCCAAAAATAGTCACATTCCAAGTGCTTACTATTCAATATGTTTCTGTAACCATCTTCAGTTACTATTTCTGTAGATAAATGGGAAATTATTTGGTTTTAGTACTTAGCAGCTGAAAGTCCTACCTTTAACGCTCTTGTAATTTTGCTTATTTTGAAGCTGGTCAGAGTTACATAAATAAGTTTCCTGTAGTAAAAATAGAGCAATTATGAACTTTTTTTTGGGAAAAGAAACTAATCTTTCAGGATTCAAGCCAGTTTGGCTAGTTGTGGTTGGATGTAGATACTGTGGCTCTGGTCATAATGGTATGGCATAGCTCTAGTGAGGAGGAGAACTTGAAACATAAAGAGATGGCCTAAATGTCTTAAGGTGAATTGCCCTATCAGTTGTCATTCCTCAGTTTCCCTTTCTTACGACGACATTCCTTTCAAAACTAGAACACAACACAACATTTGTGAATTAAGCCCAATTCCTGCATTGCTACCATTTGCTATCTTGCCACACATTCTTAATAGTTTGGGTTTTTTTCCCACAAAATATGTAGCTTCTGTTGCAAGAATATGAGCTGCTTGTTTAAAGTCTTCATTGTGGGTTTGGCATCGGCAGCATAGCTCAGACATGACTTTGCCATCCTTCTTTTAGAAACAGACCTTGACGTAGGTTGCTGGTGACGTACAGCATTGTCCCTCCTCTCTTCTGGGTTCTTGGCCCTTGTGCCAGCCGTATTCTCGCATCTCTTGATGTAACATCCGGGAATAAAGTTTCTGAGAGTCAAGCTGCACAGGGAAAAGGTGAAGGAGTTATGGCTCTGCAGTGTCACTTCTGACTCATGTATATAGGGGGAAAATTCAGGGGAGAGACTGTTCCCTTCCTGATTAATTTTGGGTGGGAAGCCAGTATGGGAACGTAAGGATTTTTGTTCCCTTCCAGCTCTGTAGAGGGAGGGGGACAGAAGACCAACGACAACGTACACTTTAAATTTTCAACACTGCATATACACTAAAAAAGGCTAGTTTAAAAATATGTATCCTAAGTCATTTGCAAGATACAAACAAAGTGAAATTTTAACCAATATTCATAAAATACTCTGCACAGTTTGTCCAACTCAACTTTACATCATGACACCAGAGACTCATGATACTCTTGTACATTCTATGTTTTGCTATAAATCAGACAAAAACCACAGCAGTTCTTCTTATAAGGGGAATATACTTTCCCACAAACCTTCTGAAATACTTGGAGCAGGGATGAGGACAGCAATTTGTTAACATGAAACAAGAGCACAAGGGTCACAACAGGAAATACCAGCAGGTAGCGGGACTTTTGTTTGGCCTGTGGCATGATATTGTGTGTCACAACTCTCTGTGCTCCACAAAAAATTCCCTCTCTTCTGTCAGACAAGCTGTGTTGGCTATGCTACAGGATAAAATATATGTCAAATAGAGGTGGTGCTCACTGATGTCGAATGTCTTTGCTTTTAATGAAAATAAGATGTGCTGCTTCTGAACAAACAGCTCGAGTTGTATACAAACCTTGACAGCAAGACAAAATCTGCAGTTAGTAGAATCAGGGATACAAAGCCAACTTAAAGATTTATTTTTAATGTGTATCTTGCATTATTAATACTGGGCCTCACTGTGTGATGTAGCCATTTAAACTAATCAAAAGATTAACACAGATGCTTCTGATTTATTTTGTTGGTTTGGGGTTTTTTTAAACACTTTGCCTTGGAAGAAGAATATCATTCATTATCACAGAACTGCCTTTGACTGATGCTGTTTTATCCGTTTATATTTACATGATTAGTAATGCTACAATACTATTTTTCAATAGTACAATACTGAAGTTAACGTATACTATGTAATTTATTGTGTTTCTGTAACATAGCAACTATTTTTGAGGTTCCTTAGTCATGACAATGTAACATATGAGAAGCCATTAGACCTCAGTATTTTGAATCAAACAGATTTTTCTTTCAGAGTCTCTGTGTTTTGCTTGGAAAATATCATGTTTTTTACTAAATGTTGTGTCTTCGATTGATAAAATTCCATGTGGAAAAACTCAAGCTACTTAAAATCTCATAGAAGTAGTGAATGTTGGTTGAAATTTGTAAAAATTGGAGTTATATTCTGATGCAATTGTAAGCAGTGCATGCCGTCTTTAACTGAGCATTCTGCCTGAGAGATGCTAAGAATGAGGTTGATAATGTTATCAGTTACTGTTTTACCTTCTGCTCTGAAATTAACTTTGTGCTTTATGGCTAGTATATATAGCAGAACTATTAGCATCTCATTTAAGTCACTGAACTGTGTGTGTATATGCATATTTTCAAAAAGAATAAGAAAGATAAGGGGGAGTTATTCTCTTCATTGTCTCCTCTTCATGGGGAATGAAACCTGATTTTTAAACAAGAGATTGTCAGGTTGAGCCCTTTTTTGAAGAGCTGAGCATCACTGAAGTCAAAATGCTTTAGACACACGTAAATCAATCTGATCGCTATTTCTATTTTGGCGTTAGCTAAGCTGCTAGAGACAAGAAGAACAGGAGAAATTTGTCTTTCTTTAACAAATGCTTTTCTTTATTCTTCCTTGGTCACACAGTCATTCCCAGCACAGCACTGCAACCCGTCCTCCCACAGTGAGCTTGCAGCGGACCATTTCTGTGGAAGGGTAAGATGCTGATTCTCTGTTGAAGCTGCCTGTAGAGCTCTCAGCCACCACGAGAGCTGCCCACACCCACATAGCCACCACCTAGACGTGTTTTTGGCACACCGTGACCTTTAAGTCTGTGAGATGAAGGAATAAATACTGCCAAATTAGTGCTGGTCCTTTCTAGATACTTACACTGATAGGTCTGGTTTTCATGGAGATGAGAATATGTCATGGAGATGTGTTACCTACAGTTTCTTCAATTCATCTCACTTGACTGGTGTTAATATTTATGTGTCTTAGCTGTAAAATGGTTCCTACTAATCATGGAAATGCCCAGTGAAGTCTTACTCTATTTTCATTATGTATGCATGAATTCTTTTTGACTAAACAGTGTCCTGAGCTAAGGAGGAAGAAGTACTGATAGAGAGTAATAATCCTGTGCTGGTGTATATCTGTGTATATTAATGTGTTAACTGTAGAAGCATAGTTCTGAGTACTGAGCTGACTCAATTTTAACAAAAATAATTAGTTAATATGAATAATTCACAACCAGAGTTATTATTCCTGCATCTTTATGACAATTAGACAAGCTGATATTTAACACTGACACACAGATTTTGGCTGCCCTGGCTGATGTATTTTACAGGAAATATTAGATTTGTTTCTCCCCTCCCGTAGAAAGGGTGAACTGTTTGAAATCTTTTGTAGGCAGGGGTAATAACTTGTCATTCACTGCTCTCAGATCCTATTTCAAAGCCTTTCTTTCTTGTGATAAAAGTGAGAATCCAAAGTTTCCACTGAGGAAAGATGTCATCTTGTTGCATTTTGTTTTATGTTACAACCTGACTGTGGTGCAGTCAGAAAATCAAAGGGTAGATAGTGAAATAATCCACTCCTAAGTGAACCCCTTTTCTCACAAGTTTCAATGTTTTTTCTTATCTAGATCAAAGATTTAACATTTTAAGTTTTGATTTAAAATGTGTAGAACAGCTACAGTAATTATTCATTGAAAACAAGACTGAATAATGAAATTGCTACAGGAAAGGTGCATATGGCTTAAGGGCTGTCATTAGGAACATAATTCTAGAAATGAAGCCCTTAAAATCCAACCTGCTTGCTCAAAACAGGGCTATTTTCAAATTAGATCAGGTTGCTCAAGGTCTTGTCCAGTGACTGTCACCAGATGTGGAGATTGCACAAGTTCTGGGCAATCAGTGCTTAAACATCCTCAATTTGCATTTCTTTTCTTTATCTCTCTCTTCCTCTCCACTGAACAGAGAGACACATAATAAATTTCCCTGTCTTTTCTTCAAGTCAACTCATGAATAAATTGATGTCTGAAATAAAACTGAGCTTCAAGAACAAGTTTATAAATTAAAATGGTGATTGGATTAAAAAAAAAGAAAAATAATTTACTAAATTGAGATTTAATGAAACAAATTCCATTATGAAGTCTCTGACTTGGTCTACTGGACTCCTGGGTCTACTGGACTCCTGCAGGAGATATCCTGCAGGTTTAAGGTCGTACAAAATTTGGAAATCAATCTGTCTATATAAATTTTTAGATAAATTGCAGAATCTTTACAACTTGCATCTACTGTAAATGAATCATTAGAGTGCAGGAAGCCTGCAATTTATATTACAGGTCTCCTGCTGCTCAGGAGTTGGAAGAATATCTGGCTTGTAATTATTACTAATCAACTTACACTGAGTCATGTTTCATTTCACATAGGAAAGTGGGACTGTTAGCCTATTATACCACTGAGCAAAAAATAATCACCTCAGCCCTGAGTATTTCCTTATGTTAAAGCTCAATTTATTGTCATGTTTTTGTGAAGTCCATGCTGCTAAGTATGTTTATAGCTAATACAATTTGAGGTCAAAACAAAGTTATTTTTCTCTTTTAAGGACAAGGTTTTCCTGTATTGAGGTGACTCAGTAAATTGCTTTTGATGCACTTTGTAAATAGCTGCTGTACCTGCGAGGCATCTTGAGTACACGCTTAGATTTGAGGCCTGCATGCTGGCTCTGTGTGACTGACTGGGTCATCACTTGACGTAAGATAATAATTGGGTCCTGTGAAGGAAAAATGAAATATGGGAGGGCTAAAAAAATATAGGGGGAATTGCATTCGCTGGCATTTATTCCTTTCCACCCTGTTGAATATGTGATAATTGAGCTGGCGGGAACAGATCTTTTAAAAACTTTAATACTTTTGTCATCTAGGTAATTATTCATACATACATAAAAACATACATATTTTCTTTAGGGACGACTTTTGTGGACTTCATGCACAGCAAAAAAATGAGTAGCAAGGTGAAAACAAACACGAGGTGAACAGATTTATTATGTGTATAAAAGCATGAACTTCACAGGTGTTTGGTGTCACTGTTAGTGCCATCTGTTTAGTAACGCCCCTAATGGTTTATTTGCATGGTTTAAAAAAATTTTAAAATATTGCTGGTCTCAGTTTTTGGAAGTGGTTTTAAAGCACAATTTTATCTGTGAGTATCCAAAACAGGAAAAATACAGGGTGAAAACCAAAACCTGTTATTTGGAAACCCTGCTGTACTATCACACAAAGCTCTAATGTTAGTGGTGCATGATAGCTGTTCTTTCTGCAGTTGACACTCAGGCTAAATTGTATTTTACATGCTACCAGTCATCTCTTCTGCTGAGCTGCTTAGAAACTTATTTGACCAAGCGTGCTTTGATGGAGAGTTTAAAGAAATTCCTCAACGTGACTGAGTAACTCAAATATATATTAATATTTATACGTAAATAAACAGCATTTGAACCATGACTAAGGGTAAGAATTTTTCTCCTGAACAGGACAGATGCTACAGACTGCTTTGTGTTTCAGAAGTGTTGTATATAAAGTAACTCTAGATGCTTGCTACTAGCGAACTGTATATTGATATTTTGAATTGTGGCTTGGAGGCACTGCTATTTTTAGGAATTTTCTTAGCCTTTGAATATGTCTTGACTTCTGACAGTGCAATACCATTGCCTGTCACCGTTTCCATCTCACCTAACTGTGTCTACAAACTGAAAAGCTGGAGCATTCATGGTAAATAGAGCCATTGAATGGTGGAAGTACTAGTTTATAGAAAAGTGGTTTCAATTTGGAGCAAATAGTTTTTAAAAGCAGGATGCAAAGCTACATGTCTAGTATGGAGTTGCCTCTCCTGGTATAGCAGGTGAAACAGATGCCATTTTCACGCTTTATTTGGATTATTAGTATGTAAATAATGCACCTCGTATCAGGAAAGAGAGACAAGAGCTTATGTGAGACAAAATATAAATGAGTAAGTGTACTGGAATAATCGTCTCCCTTTCAAAGTTAAATTAGCTCTCCTCGTTTTGAAAATCAGTAAGATTTCTCAAATCTAGGAGACGTACTCCTGCGCATTTAAAGTAAATGTCAGGTGGCATGGTAAAAATATAGAGCATTTTTTCAAATGAAAGACTGTTCCTGAATGCCAATTCCATCTTGCTAGTTGCAATCAGAAAACATTGCCTTTAATTTCTCCAAAAAAGACAAAATGAAAGACTGTTAAAGTCCAGAGGGGTTCCCACAAAGCAATAAAGTTGCACATGTATAAGCCAGTGCGCTCGTGCATGCGTCAGTCAGGTTGAAGCCTGGCTCCCAGTTGATTCCCTTGTATTAAATATACTTCAAAGTTCATGACAAGTTAGACATGATGTTTGCAGAATAAATGCATTAAAGTAGTCAGTGTTAAAGTTAGGATAAAGTATTGCTTCTACAGTTCATGTCAACATTCAATCAACAAGAAATGCCAAGGAAACCAAAGTCAAATGAACAGATGAAATACTTGTTTCAAGCAGAATATGTAACTATAGTAAGCAGAATTGTATTTTGTTCTGCAATATGGTAAATGAACATCTCATTAAAGGCTGAATGCTTACTTGTTAGGATATCGACAATTAGTAAAATGAAATAAGAAGTCACTAATCAATTATACATAATGAAAATGAACGCTCCGCACATGGCCTAAACATTGTCTCAGTTTGAGAAGGCAAAGTTATGCCTCTGAACTGTGGTGATAGAAATAGAAAAGAGGAAGGTTTCCTTTTTTTCCTTATTTTCGATGATAATAATAACAACAACAACAACAATAATAACAGCAGTTATTATTCTATTTATATATTATTATATTATTAATATAATTCTATTATATTATATAATAGTATTATAGTTCGTTATTATTATTGTTGTTATTTTTTAATAATAATAATAGTAGTGGTAGTGGTGGTGGTGGTGATGATGATGATGATGATGATGATGATGAAGTCACAGATCAGGGATCAAACCCCACTGGTTCAGGTGCCCCACTGATGGGTACCACTGGGAGGAGGGACTGGGGAGTGAGCACAGGAAGGGCTGCAGCCCCTCACCACTGCCAGGTCATGGGGTTTGGGAAACCTCACGTTGGAGGTGGGGTTGAGGACGAAGGCAAGGGCTGGTGCTGTTTCACATTGTGCTGGAAAGATTTTGCTGAGCCTAATAGGGGAATCACAAGGGGAAAAGTAAAAGCCAAGATGCTCCAGAAGTGATGCTTCAATAAAGCAATAGATGGGAGCACTGCAGATAGATTTTTCTCTGAATTGTTGTGAAGCAGATCCATAGAAGGTATTAAAGAAGCTTTAAATAAGCCAAGTAAGTTTGGTTTTGCCTGAATTTCAATGTCATTTAAAAAGGTGTGTGTGCCTATTCCAGGCCTCCAGCCACTTCAGATTTCAGATTCTCTCTCATGTGATTAGTCAGATTCTAAAACACCATACCCACTGCCCACCCTAGCTTTCTGCGTTAAATGCTGCTCAGTCTGTTTGGATTGCCTTTTTTAGGCCCTTCCTGTATGAATGACTGAAATAAACATGCAGTTATTTATCAGAATTTTTTGAAGCATGAGAAGGAAGCTAGAAATATTGTTCTGAAAAAGAAATGATTGATTGACCAACATAAGCAGGCAAAGCTCAGTGCTCACACAGTGAATAATCCAAAGGCAAATACTGTATTGCTCAAGAGAATGGTGCTTTGATCCCTTAGATTTGGGGTTATTTTCCCAATTATGAAAAAAAAAAAGGCAAAACAGAACCAGCAAAACAACAGAAACCTGCAGCCAAAACAAGATCAAAGCCACATTTCCAAGTCCCTGCTGATTTGGGATACCTCATTGACTGTATGTGACTGAAGAAGTCTCCAGGGTCTGATGTCTGAAAGCACCCGGTGTGCTTAAATTTCTGTAGATGTTCCAAAACACAAAATCATGTCAATGCCCCGATTTCATAGATGGTGCAAAAGAAACAGAGAGACAGAACTGTGTCCATGTGAGATGAATACTAAAACTAACTGTATTCTTCCGTGTAGCCAGCAGCATAAAATAAGCAAATTAAAAATGGATTTTCTTTCAGTTAGTTATTATAAGAATTACTTGTTTTCGGAAAGCTCTTCCCCCTCATTTATCAGTCCGGTTTTAAATCTCTTAAATTAAATCTATAATTACTGTGGATTCACAGTCTATAGAAGAATGATAGGGATGTTCGCATTTTTTGTCTTATCATTTTCTTACTGTAAAAGAGTAAACTGATCAAAGGAAATATTCAGTACAAGCATAGTGGATACAAAGCACTCAGCTGTTTTTCAAGAAAATGAAAAAATAAAACAAAAATGAACCAAAAGAAGTGGAAAAATGCCTCACTTTTTAAAATTTGTTTTTGTTAATCACATTATTATGACAGAAGAAATTTTCTTAAGTGTTGAAGTTTCATCCACTCTGCTTTGTTACTGCTTATTGGTTTCAAATGTTAATTGAATAAAACTTTCCTTACATCAGGCCTGCAATTTATAATGTGCTTTACAGAATCTGATCAGATGCATTCCCTGAAGCAAGCAACCAAGTCCATCCAAATTGATTCTCCCATTGATTTTTGAGCCTGTAGATTTTTGTGGATTGCAGCACTTTATTTGCTCCTTTGCTCCTGGCTCTCTTACAGTGAATTTTCCTTTCTTTTTTCTACCACTTTAAATCCTTCCCTGTTCTCCTTTACAGAGGCACTGTCACCCTTTTTCCCATTCTCTATTTTATTTGCTCTCTTCCTTTTTTTTTCCCCTTTTTTCCCCTTTTTTTTTTTACCTTTCTGCTGCCTTCTGCCAGTCCAGGATTGTTTTCATCTCATTCCTTCCTAATTTCTGCTTGGTTTCCCCTGCTGCTCTTCTCTGTTTGTATTTGGTACAGACCTGCAGGAAGACATAAAACCTGCACACACAGAATTACCAGAAGTGCTGGTATGCTTTGTTAGCACCTAGAAACACCTTCAGCCGTATTTGTCACACAAGAAACTGTAAATGGGATAAGCAGTTAAAGCTGGAGGCAGAATCATGCATTTCAGAATCACTGGCTGTTACTCGTCTTTTTTTCTAGGTGCAGAGTGCCACCTATTGCCTCCAAACGAAACACTGAGCTTTCAAAATAAATTTTTAAATAAATTACCCTGAGATTCCCTTTGCCTCGGTTTGCTTTTTTTCTGTGGATAACTGCACTTTTTACTGAGTGCATTTACTGCAAGAAAACATCATTCACATTTGAGTTACTTTCCTTGCACTTCTTACCCTATCATCTGTAAGTCTTTGATTCCATTACTTCCTTTACAGCATTTATCTGCATTCTGTCTAAAATCTCATGTGGATGAGAATGACTTTTATAAAGAATTTTAATAGAGGCAAAGTGTTTCTCCTTAATGTTCCTTCCCAGATAATAAAGAAAAGTTGGAGCACTTGCTCTTAGATCTCCTTGATCTTATTAAAAGAGATGAATAGAAACTTACACTCCAGATGAATAAATATGCAACATCTGCATCTTAACTTTACGAAAAATATTTATTTCTTTGAGTGTGGCTAAAGCAGATGACTCATTTCTTCATTACTCTTAAGAGATCACCTGGTCAGTGGCAGTTTATTTGCTTGAGAAACTTTTTTACTTTAACTTCATAGCAAACTACAAAGCTTCATTATCATCATAAGGGGTTTTTCACATTTTCATGTGAAATACACTGTGAAAATGTAAACCAAGATACCTTTTTAAATAATCTTAGTAATTTATGATGTTTTGGTGAATTGGCAGATACCTTCTGCTCCCTGTAGCTTTTGCAGTCCAGTTGTGGCTTAAAGGTTCTTCCTGTGATGATGACAACCACACTTCTTCATTCTTGCATCCACATTTCAGGTCCTGCAGGATACTCAGATATGTAAGAAATATGAAGCCATGTGATGGTTGGTCACTCTCTATATAGCCAAATTTGAGACATGACCAAAATGACCTGATCAGGGTAAAGAGTGGGAGCCAAACCTCAGTGTGTTCTAATCACGGCTTCTGACATTTCCCCATCATTTTTTGAGCTTCCTCTGAACATCATCATCCAGGAGCAGAATGGGAATTTTGCTGTCAAAAGGCCAAAATTACAAACCAGCACTGACAGCATTTTAGGTGTAAATCTGCTGACTCGATCAGAGACAGCGATTAATAACTGGGCCAACGTTTTGTTGAGCTGCACAGCTCACTACTCAGTAGCTACCCAGTTGTACTGACCTACTTTTGCCCATAGCACTGGCTTCCAACTTTATCACCCAAGCTGCCTGTCATATGTGGAAATACTCCATTTCGTTTTGTACAAGAGCTCTCCTGCTTTCTCACCAGCAGAGCATGTAAATATTTGTTTGGCTTCATTACCTCTTTTTCTTCGAGGCTCAGGTAAATGATAATGGCAGTAGCTCAGCTCTCGCTCAGTATTTTTGATGCATAGGCCTCAAAGACAGTAAGTGTCACCGTATCATTTTGTGGATGAGAAAATTGAAGCTGGAGGAAGAAATGACTTGCCAAAATCACTGGGCAGCCCATGGGCTAAGTGGGGGAAGGAACCCACGCTCCCAACTCACTGTCCTGGTCCTGCTCCAACCCCCAGGCCACCCTTCTTAATTACAAACCTGTTCAGACATCTTCAATCCGGAGTACATTATGCCTAATCTGCACATACTTAAGAAGGCGCTAAAAGTGTTGCTACAAGGCAAATCAACAGCCATGATCCAAAGGAAAATGAAACTCACTTTATATTCTGATTCATTCAAAATACTTCAGGAATATACAAATGCAATATGGAATATGCCTTTTTCTCACAGCTGTATTTTTAAAAGGTTGTTTAGTGACTATTCAATGTTAAGAAAAAGTTATAAATGGAGGAACATATGGAGCAGGATTAATGTTTTCACTGAAGGGTACTATCGCCATTAAAAAGATTATTTAAAAAATTGCTTTAGCTTTTTCTTTCAAAAATATTAAACTTTGGTTTCAGAAATTTGAGATGTTATTTAAAGATCATGATCAAGCTAAGGATACTGTTTGGACATTAGCACTGGGCAAAGATGAACAAACACGTCCTGATTTTGGAATTATCATGTAAAGTTAAGTCCCAGTGTATAAAGCCATAAGACTTAACTCCCATAAAATAAGACACCCTTTGATGCATCACTTCTCTCTCTCCTTCTTTTAATTTTCTTTAAAAACAAAATGGATATGAAAAAGCTATCTGTACGATGTAGAATTTGTTATATAGTACACAGGAAATAGTGGATCTTTTTTACAAGAAGCAATCTGGGGTGTTTCTGTAGACGACGTGTGTGTGTGTTGTCAGTTTGCTTTAACTTTTATTCGTAAAAAACTGAATTGGGAGAACATGCTGTTTCTCTCTGAGGAGTCACAGACACATCAATGCACGTATTTGTGAGTATTGCAAGGCTGGGCTTAAGGTTTACACATACTGATCTAATAGCATTTACGCCTTGGCTGGAAAGTAAATTGTAAGAGGGATTTGAAATTGGGTAAGTACCAATAAATACGATGTGTGTAAATGTGTATATGCTTGTGTGTATATGTACAGTAGGAATTTGGAACACAAATACTTGCAACACTTTCTCAAGGATGGTGCTTTGATTGCTTAGGAAAGTCATCTCTCTCTGCACATGTTTTCCTGTCAGAAAATTGTATGTTCTTATGTTTACATCCTTTGGTGGCACATTTTCAATTTACAGGTGGAAAGTGCTATATTAGCCATAGCTGGTTTTATTTATTTATTGATTTCCATCATAATGAACAACTTTTTAAACCTGTAAGACAAAAGCAGATATTTCTTGGTCTGGTTCAGTCATAAAGCTGCTGTGTGATGTTACAGTTACAAGCTCCTGATAACATCAAATCAGAGTTTTTAATGAGATTTTGCTCTATTATCTTGATCACACAAATGTTGTTATTTACTCCAAAACTGTCATGATCAAACACATTTGCCATTGCTTTGCCAAGAGTTTTAAATTTTTCTTTGTTCGTTTGTTTAAAAAGAAATCCTAGAACTTAAAATAAAAAGGTATTGTGTGAAGATTGATTCTATTTGTATATATAGTATTGTTATAAATCAGAAAAAAATATCTTCAGTGTTTTGGTTTTTCTTTTAATAAATCCATTACTTAAATTAGTGAAGATGGCACCAGTGGGCTGAAATTAATAGAGATGTTTGAGCGTTTTGAATGGATAAACATTATCATTTTGTTTCCATACAGAGAGCCTCGAAAAATCATCCTGCACAAGGGCTCCACAGGACTTGGTTTTAACATTGTGGGAGGAGAAGATGGGGAAGGCATTTTCGTGTCTTTCATCCTAGCAGGCGGGCCTGCCGATCTCAGCGGAGAACTGCAGAGAGGAGATCAAATTTTGTCTGTAAGTATTTGTGATGGGCTTTGCTGGCCAACTACTTCATCTCCTTCTTTGTCTGTACTGCACAGGACGCACAAAGATGTCTGTTTGGTTTCTGTGTTGTGAAATCCAAGCTGGAAGCGGTTTATCACTGAAGATTTTGGTTTTTTCCTCTTGGTTTTTGTTGCATTTGTTAATGGTGTTACCTGCACTTAGCTCAGAGTGAGACTTCGCTCTGCTTAATGCTATCTACAGTATGGCAACATCCTGGAGATGACCTAAACACAGTGTGGACCTCAGCATCTCCCATTTTAGCCCATCATCCAATCCCATTTTGCCCCAAATGCACTAATGAGTCCAAAGATACTTCCCAATTTCAGCTTTTCTTTGAGAAGAAAAAGCAGTAGGATAAGATGGGGGTGCCATCTAGTGTGCACTAAACTGCTTAGCAAATAGCCCAATACAAGGAGGAGATTAATTAGGTTATGTTAATTATCCCTGCTTCTCTAATGAATTTTATGATTGCTCTGAAATTAATTTTCAAACTTTAGAGGATAGAAGGCTTTATAGCCTGAGGTTATATTTTGCATACTCTGTCTCAAAAACATCTTTTAAATTTTTCATTCATGTACATATTGATAACACGCATTTAAAAAACAGCATTTATGTTTTAGGCTCTGTCAAGTAATTGAACACATGACTGAAACGGTCTCAACATAAAGGATTTTGAATGTCAATGAAAACCTTGAAAATGTAGTTAAATATCCGTTCACATTATACCGCCTTACAGAAAGAAGAAAGTATCCCAAGTTGATACGGTCGTGGGGGTTTTGTGTGGAGTACACAAATAGCCTAGGCAAAGAGCTGAAACTCAGGAATTATTCATCTTGGATGAGTGATGGACCCGCTAGGCTGCAGCATCACTCACAGCTGCTCTCAGGCTTGCTGACCCTGTGGATCTTGATTCCTTGGCTCCACTTTGGTTAGCAGCAGTGGCAGGAGAAGGCTGTTACAGCATTGTTATGTGGCACTTTCATGGTCAATGTTTAAATCTCTTCATGAGGAAGCTGGAAATGGTTTTCCTACATTGCTTAGGAGTTTCTTGGCCACGTCTATTCTACCCTCAGCGAGTTTGCAGATGACACCAAGTTGGGGAGGGAGTGTTGACCTGCTTGAGGGTAGGAATGCTCTGCAGAGGGATCTGGACAGGCTGGATCCATGGGCTGAGGCCAACTGTATGAGGTTCAACAAGGCCAAGTGCTGGGTCCTGCACTTGGGTCACAACAACCCCATGGATGCTGCAGGCATGGGGAGGAGTGGCTGGAGAGCAGCCAGGCAGAAAAGGACCTGGGTGTACCAGTCAACAGCTGACTGCCCAGGTTGCCAAGAAGGCCAGCAGCATCCTGGCTTGTATCAGAAATAGAGTGACCAGCAGGAGCAGGGAAGTGATTCTTCCCCTGCACTCAGCACTGGTGAGGCTGCACCTTGAATCCTCTGTTCAGTTTTGAGCCTCTCACTCCCAGAAGGACATTGAGGGACTGGAGCATGGCCAGAGAAGGGCAATGGAGCTGGGGAGGAGTCTGGAGCACCCGAATGATGGGGAGAGGCTGAGGGAACTGGAGTTGTTTAACCTGGAGACTGAGGGAAGACCTTATCACCCTCTACAACTCCCTGAAAGAAGGGTGTAGTGAGTCTCTTCTCCCTTGTGGCTAAAGATAGGACAAGGGGTAATGGCCTCAAGTTGCACCAGGGGAGGTTTAGATTGGATATGAGGAAAAAATCCCTCATTGAAAGGGTTGTCAAGCACTGGAAGGGGCTGCCCAGGGAGGTGGTTGAGTCACCATCCCTGGAGGTGTTTAAAAGGTGGGTAAATGAGGTACTTAGAGACATAGTTTAGTAGTGGTCACGTTATGGTTGGACTGAATCATCTCAAAGATCTTTTCCAGCCAAATGACTCTATGATTCTATGAAAGGTGAATTTATCTTCCACCTGTCAAAGTTTTGGTGTGAAAAGATAGCTGGGACTGCTTTGAGATACATATTGAAAATCTGGCTTGTTAACACCAAAAGGATACAGTAACTTGAAGTTGTGGGTACTGTAATAGTATATTTTATCTAGACTTGTTCCTTGAAAATGCTTTAAGAAAAATTGAGAAAGAGTAAGTAAAAGATAGTTTGGTGCTTTAAAGAGATCCCTAAGTAGAAAGTTTGTAGGGAACTGCAAGAAAACCAAAATAGGTTATCAATAAGGTTATCAACATGAAGATATAAGGAAGGCAAATGCCTCTGCCAAGAACATAGACAAGAAACCCGAAGAACAGAAATGGAAATTTCTTCAGGACAACTATGCAACTTATTTGTCTTTGGCCAGATGCAGCAAAATAAGGCTGACTGAAGAAGCACTATGGGTTCATAGCCTTATACAGTACATAGTATTCAGAACTCCAGCAGCTCAGATACAAATTTAATAGTCCCTTTTCCTTTATTTTTACGCAAGGATATATTTAGCACTGTAGGATACTGCCACAGCTGAATTTTTAACTCTGTTTTTTTGTCTGTTTCGCAGCGATATTTTCCGTAAGTTCTAATTAAAGTTACCAGTGTTACAGCAGCATTTACTTGTCAGGCAGGAGTAGTTTATTTGTTCATTGAGCAGAGGGGAATGAAATTTATTGCTAAATTAGGCTGCATGCATATCTTCAGGCAATCACCAAGTCAGGCACTGCTGACATATTTTGTCACAAATAACTATTATGAATCCATCTTTCCATATTCAAACAAAACAAATTTCATGCACAGGCTACTTTATGACCTGAATTATCTTAGGCCATCATTTGGTGAAGGGTCCCAGACACCTTAATTTTATAAGGGCTACACAAAGTAGGTCTGTTTCTCTCTGTTTATTCTTTCTTGTCTCATCCCTCAGAAACACTTACTTCCCTACTGAATTTTTTCCCATTTGTTTCTTGAAACATGACAAATCTGATTTACCAAGAACAAATAGTACCCGCAGAGCTAGTATTTTTAATTAACTCAAGCTTGGTTAAATTTCTTTCAGACAGGAAGCACAGTAAATGATTTAAACTTTGGAGAGCTGGATTTCATTCTCTGATTTTCCTATTGTGCTTCTGTTCAACCTTAGGCAAGATGCTTTATATTTATTGGTTTTTAAGCATGAAACTTCCGTGTGGAAGAAGAGGATCACAGCACTTTCTTATTTTATGCCTGCGCTGTGAATGTGGCAAAGTGTTGACAGTCGCGAGATGTATATACTCACCTTTGGGAAGTTACCTATAAAAGTACCTTAAATAGATTGTTAATCCATGAGTTAGACCCAACCAAGCTAGGAATAATCATTGCCTTTGGGTGACACACTGGAAATCTATATATATATTTTCCCAGAATTAGCCCACAAGGCTTGGAAAGATCCTATAATCGCTCTGCTTCTTGCTCCCAGTTACGTGATGGGCAGGGGTCCAAACCTACAGCCCTCAAGGGGCTCAGTGAAAGACTGTACCGCAGCCTTGGCCCCATGGATAAGTGAAAATTGAGTTTATTTTGCCCAAATGCCACCAGATGGCATCACAGGATCAGTAAAGGAAAAGCTCTGCCTTTGGAAACTGGCTAAACCCTTAGGAAAAGCAGCAATAGCCGTGTTTTTCTGGTTTGGGTTAATTGGCTGGAAATGTTTAAAACTTATCGCAGGAAGCAGACTGATGTTCCCGACGCTTCTGTGCAAAGACACAAAATTATTCACATCTGAACCTTGAATTCAAATTGAAGAATAATGGAAAACACTTTGTTTCAAACGGCAAAACATTTCAAATAGCAAAAAAGTGAATTAGTGTTACATTCATGACAAACTGTTTTTTCCCCCAAAAGGTAGGATTTTTTTTTAATGCTGGTTTCTTCTTGCTATAATTCATTATGCTCATGTGAATTACCACCAAACTAAACCTTTTCATTCTCAATTCTGGAAGTCTTTAAAATGTAGTGATACATACATCACCAGTGTACATTCATCACTAGAACTGAACATATCCCTCCCTGTAGTATTGCCCTCTTATTAAGTATAATGTCAATATTATCAAGTAGCATTTTGAATACTAATTGACATCAAGACTTGATTTGCTGGGCACTGTGTACACACGGATTAATTTTCATCTTGGATGTTTATAAGCCAAATGAACGGCTCAGAATATCAATGGAAGTATTATTTCCACTTTAGAGCAGTGGAAATGAGGTGCCATTACGTAAATAAATTTGTTTCAAATCATGTGAGATGTCTGAGCCAAGTCTAGACTTAGAGACTGCTTGAACTCTGATCTAACATCAAGTTCTCCATCTGTTAGAAAATGCAGTCTTCAATAAAAATAAAACGTAATGTTCCTTGATGCCATTCTTGCAGTTTAAAACTCCACTTCCAGGGCTAAGGGATAAATTGCCTATTACAACAGCAATGGGAAGCCAGTGCTGTTTGCTGAAAATCACCTGGTTGAGAACACATGATTTCCAGGAGCCATAAGCACAAAGTGGCCATACATTCTGCATATATACTTGCTGATGGAAAGCAGTACAGATCTTATAATTTTAGGAAAGAGGTACTTAGTGAATACTTTGTAATTTTTAGGGGACATTTGGTCCTATTCAAACAAAAATTGCTGCATCATTTTTTGCCTTACAATCTCAAATCAAAATTACAATAAAAATACCTATTTATTTTAGTGTCTTAGCTTGCAAGCTTTAAAGCACTTTCAGCAGCAAGTGGGCAACTTCATCTATAGGATACCTAAAGTATCTCTTCAGTACCTAAAGCACAGAGAGTTAGTTTACACATGTAAATTCAGCAGCAAAATTCAGATTTCCAATTTACATACAATTAGTCCATATTGCTCCTCAAATTCCTATGGAAGACATTGTTTTCAAACAGCTTTATACATTTCCATAAGACTGCATCAAGTTAAAAATAAGTATAAAAGAGAGAATTAAGGTGAATTAATAGCCATAAGGAGGTAACGGCAAGT